GATGTATATAAATATTTTAGTGCCATCTAAATTGGCAGAGAAATATTATGTTTAGTGTAGCTTATGTTAGGTATGTTTTATTAGACTATTTAAATATGGACACTTAAAAAATAATGAAATCACAGAATAAATAGTTCATAAAGCCTATAGGATCTTTTGAACCTAGTGTTTTAGAGCAAAAGCCAGCAAACTTTTTCTGTAAAGAGCTTTGTAGGCCAAAAGGAAAGGTCAACAATATTATGTAAGGACTTAACAAGAGAAACAAATTTATGCAGACTTTTTTATTAGTGAAACTCAAAATAGTAGCAGTTGAGTATTAATTTTGTAACCTTGGTCTACTAATGAGAAGAGTGGAATTCTTTTTTGCAAGGATAACATTCTTCATTGGGCTACAAAGTTAGTGTCCCTATCATCAAATTGGTCACAGGTACTCAGCTATAAAAACTATTCTTAAATTCATGGGCGGTAGGGAAAGAAGTGGTGGGTTGGCTTTAGGATGTGAGCCGTAATTGTTGATCAATGTTTTAGAATATAAGGACCTTTGCAGTTACTTAATTGGTGAAGTGAGGGTTGTTTCCCAAGGTTACATAGTTACTTAGTTATCTTATTGACAGGTGCTATCAAAGCAAGGCTCTTGAAAATGTTACACTACCTCTGATATTCTTAACTAAAATATTTTTTCTTAAACAGGAATATCCTATTCCCTAACTATTTTATAAATGGAAATTCACCTTATACAAAAACTGCCACCTCCCCCTTCCTCACATCTTTTTTCTACCTTACCTGGTTTTTAGCAACACCTCAGCTTCTTTAACAATAACCATAATGTTTTTAAATTAAAAAATAGTTTTAAAATTTTTATGAAGATTTGAAACAGTTAATACATCATTTCCCTCTCATCTGTACTATATTTCTAGAAATGATTTAAATTATTATGTGCATTGGTGAACTGTACAAGTTTAGTAGCCATATGCAGATCTTAAAGATCAGACTTTGAACTTTTATTAAGTAGTATTTTATTTTATTTCTGTTTTTTTAAAAACTTTTTTAAACTTTATTACATTTGGAGGGGTAATTAGGTTGTTTTTTTTTTAATGGCAGTACGGAGGATTGACCCCAGGACCTCATGCATGCTAAGCACTCACTCTACCACTGACCTATACCCTCCTCCTAAGTAGTATTTTAAATACCTCCAGATAATAATTTCACATTCTCTCCCTTCTACTCCTACTGGTAAAATGGAAAGAGCTTTGGTCCACAGAGAACTAGACCAAAATACCAAATAACAGTGCTTAGCACAGACTAGGAATGCATAAATTGTGCAATGATGAAGTGATTTGACAAAGTCACTTTATAAAGGGCTTACTGTCATCTCTGGTACATGGAGGGTGCTTAATACATGATAGTTCTTAATAATTGCTATAAAATCTAGAAGTCTAGAAGTTGTTCATAGTACCCAAATTTAATACATTTTGCTTAGTATTCATGATACACCTGTGTAGTAGGGTAGTTGAAAAATCAGAATCTGGAGTTAGATTACCTAGTTTTAAAACCTAGTGAAACCAGATTAGCCCCACACCGAAGCCATACAGACCCTGAGCAAGTTATTCAACCTCTCTGTGCCTCAGTTTCCTAATCTTTAAAATGGAAATACGATAGTACAAACCTCATAGGGTTGTTACAAGGCTTATGTTAGTACCTGTAAAATGTAACAGGGCTTGGCACATAGTAAGTTCCCAAAAATTGTTGGCTGCAGTAATAGTAATTATTAATGTTATATTTGAATGCTTTTCTTAAAAATTTCAAATAAATTTAATCAATTAACTGGATTCCCAAAACTATCATTAAATTTAACATTTTTCTGTTACAGATGGAATGTACCTAATTTTCTTCATCTCTTATAGATGTAAACAGCAAAAGGGAAATTTCCCATTAAATTGAGCATACGTGTTTTATAGCACCTTGTATAGTCACAGGTAGAAAAATTGATGAAATAACAAATATATAGATGGTTAAGAAGTTATAGTCCTGGACTGATAATCTCCTTGAAATAATCCCAAGGGTGGTACCTTGAGCTTTTTTCCTCAACCAACATGTACCTTATATTTTGTGATTTGAATACAGCATGCTTATTATTTTGTTCTTAATATTAATGCTGGTCAATGTAAATAGTTGCTTGACGAAAAAGAAAAAAACTACTTTGAGGAAAGAAAATGCTTTGGGAATTAGTAACCCACAATTGTACCTATCCTTATGGTTGTTTATACATATAGTTTTATAGAATTATATTCTGTAAATTATTACATTTGTCTGCAGCAGAATATTATTAGTACCTAATTTTCTTTTGAATTTGCATTCTTCTCAACTTCTTATAGAAGTTATAAATTAATTTATAAAACCTGTAATCAAATTACTTAATGATCTTTCTGTTGGTAAGTTTTCTAATGTATGCTTTTTTTTCCCTCCCACCAGAGGAAATAAAAGCGGAAACTGAAAAGCAGAGGTTTGTCTTTTTTTTTTTTTTTCCTTCAGCAAAAAAAATTTGCAAACTTGTCAGTCTTGGCCAAAATAGTAATACAATCATCTGTATTTTAGTGTAGCAAATTTTCTACATGTGGCCTTTGTAACAAAGTCAATTTTTTAAAAAATAATTTTTGAGAAATATAATGGTAATCATACCTGTAAATACTGAAAGAGCTCATAAATAAATAAATAAATAAATACAGGTATTTCTGAAATGCTGTACGATATGCTTTAAAGTCTTTGCTTAAAGAGTTTGATTCATATTTAGAAAGATTACTAAATATTTAGTAACCTAAATTATTTAAAGTAATTAGGTAATTGCGTTGATTTTTAAAATTTTTCTTGCATTTAGTTACAGCTCTGGCCACTAGCTTATGACCTACAACAAATCACTTAACGTCTCTGGACTTTATTTTCCCCATGAAATATGGGAAGAGGAAGTCTGGTTTAGCAAAGTGCCTTCTAGAACTGAAATTCTGTGTTTTTATTTGAGTGTATCATCAACATGAAAAATGTGATATTCTAATCAGACTCTCCCTTTTTCTTTAGTCCTCCTCATGGAGAAACAAAAGCTGGATCAAGCACCCTTCCACCGGTGAAATCAAAGACAAATTTCATCGAAGCAGACAAGTACTTCCTACCTTTTGAATTGGCATGCCAGTCCAAATGTCCCCGCATAGTTAGTACATCTCTAGATTGTTTACAGGTATGTATAAAACGGCACTGTCTAAAAACTATCTAATCTGAATGTGTTTCTAAACATTACTCACAATTGATGAGTCCATCATGAGAGCAGTTGATTATTCTTTTTGTGGTAAGAAACCAAGTAGTTGCTTAATATTCAGGAGAAACAATAGTTGCAAAAAGATGTTTCTAGGTTAAGGGTAACAAAAGTCATTAGTGAGCTTAGTGAGACACAGAATCTTTACTGAGGTTATCAGTAATGAAAGTGTTGATTCATGCTCTTTTTCAATCAGTGAAAAGCAAAAAAAAAAAGTACTTTTAACCTGCTGATTTTTATATATATCATTATTTCAGTGTTTGTTTTTTTTTCTACCAGATGCTTGCTGTTTTATATAAAGCAGTAGGTTAATGTTAACAGTTTAGTATTTATATTTACTATTGGACTTCAGCTCTGAACTTCATTTATGTCAGAAAAATTTCTGAAATCTTCTTGTTTTACTTAGACACACACACACACACACACACACACATCCTCTTAGATATTTATGAGACAAACCTTCAGACAGAGAGGTCCTTTTCTTTTCAGATATTTTCATGATTTGGGGATTATACCTTTTAACTAGCAATTCAGTGGAAAAGACCATATCCATATGATTTGTTCTTAAGATAGGTTAAGGATAAGTTCATTTGATTTGTGACCTTGTTTTCCCTGAAAAATTAAAATGATAATATCTAAGGCCTTCCTTCCAGGGCTATAATGGTAATGATGAGTAAACAAATCTGTGTTTTATCGCAGTCAGTGTATAGAAATTGTGTTCTCTGCATTTTCGCAGATCTAATTTGGTAGGTGATTTTGGGTTATTTGAATGTGTTAAGATAGCTTTTACAAAAGCAGTATCAGTAATGCTTGGACAGAAAGCAATAAGCTATTCTAACTCATCAGAGACAAGTTCTTAGGTCTGCCCTTCTTAAAGGTATTGCCTGATGGTTTTGCTGTGGTTATTTTTCTGTTTTTGTGGTTATTACGAGTATAAATAATTTCACGTTTATATAGCTAATAAAGCTTTCTTCAGGAAGAGTTGGTATAGCCTTGGCTTTGAGTATTCTTTAATAGTTCTATGTAAAAAGTTTAATATATATTCAGTTGTATATTGTAATTTGGGGGGGTCATTAGATCTATTTATTTATTTCTTCTTTTTTTTTTTTTTTTCAAATAGAGGTACTGGGGATTGAACCCAGGACCTTGTGCATGCTAAGCATGCGCTCTGCTATTTGAGCTATACCCTCCCCCTGTATATCGTAATTTTAATGTATGTTTAATTAGTATATATATTTGTTAGCTTAATTAGGATCTTTATTTATTTTCTCCATTTCAGAAACTTATTGCTTATGGGCACTTGACTGGCAATGCTCCAGATAGTACAACACCAGGCAAAAAATTAATTGATAGAATTATTGAAACAATTTGTGGCTGTTTCCAAGGTCCTCAAACAGATGAAGGAGTTCAGTTACAGATAATAAAGGTAATTTATGAGATAAAGTGAACTTGTTATTCATAATCTCTATTTTTAAAAATCAGAAGCCTTTTACCTTGAAAAATATTTGGAAAGGTCATTTTATGTGCTTTCCAGCTATAATGGAGGTCATTTGGGTACTTTTTAGACTCCACATCAGGAGATTTTATTGCTGAATGCCAAGAGTTCGCTAGAAGACACTTATTTGCAAATCTGTTATTTAAAGGTCCCAGTTTAGGGCCCCAGAGCCTTCCAGAGCTTTTCTGTTTCTGGCATGGTTCTGTCATTAAGCTTTCGGGTCCCATGTGAAGAAGGTCTTGTGACTCTTCTGGTTTCTTTTACTGCTGTCAGAGTCCTTGCAGTCTGCCCTCTAGTCCTGGGTTTCACCATATGAACTACTTGTGCACCAGCTTTCCTGACTCCCTTGCACCTGTCAGTCTGCTGAACCTGCTCAGCTAAACCCCGTCCTGGGTTTGTGCTGTGATATACCTGGGTGATCAGCTCCTTCCAAGGAAAATCACTCAGTTGTGTTTTCAGTCTGCTGCAAATACTGAATTTTTAATGTTACTGCTAGTAGTAGTGGTGGTGTGTTTGGTTATCAGTAAAATTTTCTTGTACTGTTTGTACTTTTGAAATTGTGGACTGAAACAGATCAGTTGAATGGTTTTCTGTTGTTTTGGGTTTGAGAGGATTATATGGAAGCTGCTGCCAGAATGAGGAAAACATAGGATATTTTAACAGTTGATGATATATTTAAGGCAGGTAGAAACTCTACATTACCTTAAAGTGGTAATGATGTCTGAAAATTTTGATTCTAATATAAAAAAATATATTTTTATGCTGAAACTCTGGATGCAAAAAATTGCTGTAACTTTTTTTTTTTAAGGCTTTACTTACTGCAGTAACATCTCAACACATAGAAATTCATGAAGGAACTGTACTGCAAGCTGTGAGAACATGTTACAATATCTATCTTGCAAGCAAAAATCTCATCAATCAGACAACAGCCAAAGCTACTCTTACTCAGATGCTAAATGTTATCTTTGCACGCATGGAAAACCAAGCAGTAAGTATTAGAAAATGAGAGAGATTGTATGGAACACCACAAGCATCAAGTATAGAAAAAATTTTATAGAAATTACACTGAAATCTTTTGTGCCTGTGGAGAGAATGGTTTTTAAGGTTTTGTGTACCGGAGATCTGTGGTTTTGTTTTGTTTTGGGGCTTACTGACTTGTTTGACTTTGGATAAAATATGTCTCTAGTTGCTCACAAATAGAAATTGAAAGATATCAGTCGCCATCATCCTTATGGAAATGTTTATGAATTGATATTTTTAATAAGCTCTCAAGCTTAGTAGATGAGTGTAATATAGATAAGTTACCTATTTGATCTGTTCTGGTATAAGATTATTCATTGAGCCTTTAAAAAATAAACAAAATGCGTTCTATGTTGATGAAATATATTTGGGGAGGAAGTAAGAGAACAGCAGCTAGAAAATCATTAATTTTTTTAGTTATTTAGTCTTCATAATTAAAAACCAACCTCTAACTTTTTTTTTTTGAACTTTTAACCTTATGGAAAAGTTGCAAAAAAATTTACAGAGATATCTCCTTTACCCTGCTACTTTCCTTAATACCAACATCTTACAGAACCACATTACAATGTCCAGAAGCAGGAAATTACACTGGTATGATACTATTAAATAAACTGTTAGCCTTACTTGAATTTCACCAATTTTCTCATGAATTTCTTTTTTTTTTTCTTTTCTGTTTTAAGATCTGATCCAGGATCCCACGTTGCATTTAATACGCATTTAGTATGTCTTACTCTTCTCCAGTTTGTAAAAATTTCTCAGTACAGCTTTCATCACCTTAAAGGGTGATGATCAGTTATTTTGTTGATTATCCCTCAGTTTGCTTTGTCTGATGTTTTCTCATGATTAAAATGAAGTTGTCCATGTCTTGCAAGAGTACCTCTGAAGCAGTGTTGTGTCCTTTTCAATACATCACATCAGTAATTCATGATGTTGATATGTCCTAATACTGACGACGTTAACCCTGATTACTCGGTTAAGGTGGTAGCTGCCAGGTTCTTACACTGTAAAGTTACTCTTTTGTAGTTAATAAATATCTTGGGAGAGATACTTTAATACTATGCGAATATCCTGATTTTTCCCTCACACTCCCCCACCCCCAGTTTGAGTGTCCATCAGTGAATATTGTTGGCAACAGTTAGTACTGCGGTGTTTCCCTAGTGGTGATTTTCTGTTTCTCTCTCCTTCTGTGTTTATTGACCAGAATTATTCTCCTTTCCTTTGTATTTATTCAGTTTTTTTATGTCAGTCTATATTCATGGGTAATTATTCTATGGTTTATAATCCAGTTCTATCATTATTTATTTTGTTATCCCAGTTATTCCAGCTTTGGCTTTCTGACCTTTTGACAAGTTCCTGTTGTTTGGTTGTTTTTTTGTTTTTTTTTTTTGAGTCCCTCCTTACTTTCTGGAATTTCAAGATTTTCCAGGCTCGTTTTGAATTTCCTCTGCTTCAGCTTTGGAGTAGTAGACATTTAAACAGGGAGCCCTGACTTCTTCGATTGGAGAATGGTAATTAGAAACTAGAATCTGAGTGCTAGGTGTGTTCGTTGTAGCTGGGATGTTATTGCTTGGAAGCCCTCTCAGCAGATTGAACTAGGGAATATATATGTGTATACTCACCCCACTTTCCCACTTCTTCTCTCTTCCGTATCTGTATGTGACTATGTATATTAAAAACTATGTGTTCATACTGATAACTTTTGATTCCAGTCCAGTACCATAGGGTTCATTTCAATCTTCTTCCTTTATTTATAACTTCCTCTCCCTAAACGTGAGAAATAAGGCCTTCATTTTCTATGATACATTATTTGTTCAGTCCTGTACTGTAACACACAGAAAATAATTTTAGAATTGCTAACTCATACCATGAGAAGCAGATTTACTAAGTAAATTGTAACATTTATTTTTTGGCTTATTTTTTTGTCTTTAGCCTTACAGTATCCGTTCAAAATATTTTCTAAAGTTACTTAGGTTAGTTCTTTTCTTCTCCGTACTCTTAAGGGATAATGTTATTACTTTATAATGCAATTAAGTTCATTTATTACTGCCTGTTTTCCATTTCGGTGTCCCTCGCATTCTGGTTTAATTGCTTACTTATTTCCTGAGTATGTTAAACACTACTATAAGCTAAGAGTTAGAGCTATAAAAAAGGTATACTCCTGTCATTCCTGTCAGTCCTCTTCCTCTCTTTACACCCCTTGGATGGATGTAGGTAATCTCTATTGTTTCTAGTTCATCCTTCTGCATTTCTTTAGCACAAATGAGCAGATAGATATATGTATGGTTTCATGTATCACCTTTCTTACATGAAAGGTAACATGCTATATTAGTTATCCATCACTGCATAACAAACTTACTCCAAACTTCAGCTGCTTAAAACTCATAGTTTAGCTGCTTAAAACTCACGGTTTAGCTGCTTATCACAACAGTTTCCAAAGGTCCAGAATCCAAGCGTGGCTTAGCTCTATGATTGTGGCTTGGATTTCGCATGAGGTTGCAGGTGG